CCAAAAAAAAAAAAAACAAAAAAAACCCCACCTCATGCTAACACTTCAGCACACTGAGTTATGTGATGGCTTAGCCCACGCTGGCTATGAAAGCATCATTACATTCCTCCTCGTATGGTTCTCCTGGCCACTGCACAGTGTGCTGCCGTAACACATGTTCCTAAGTCACCACACTGTGTAAAACCACACAAAACCATTGGGCTTATGTAAAAATGGGTGCAGGCACTCAAAAACTGCTCCCATAAAAACGGGAACAGTTTTATACATGTTAAATTGTTAAGAAATACATAAATAAGCACTTTGTCTTGAAAAAGACTTGCGGTTTGCTGGCAGAAGCTCCCTGGTCTGACCCCCCAGCTCCCATACTACCACCCTGTGTGGAGAGTAAGAGAACAAAAGAGCGAGAAGACAAAGACAGGAGAGAGGAAAAAATACAAACTAGGCTAAAAGGACAGAGAATAAAGAGGGGGCTGAGGCACAGGATCAATTGTGAGAATGAGGCAGGACAGCTGTTGTGCACCACACGGGGGTGTATGTGCCTTGTGTATTCCCATGCAGCTTGGTTCAGCTGGGTGTGCTTTTCTGTGTTCACCTAGTGTTTGTTTTCCACAGGCAAAATCATATCAACTCAAAACTCATGTTATGCTCAAAGTATTCTCTAATATATCAGTTGTGTTGGAACAAATTTGTGTTCTAGCAGAACTGCCTGGAGCTGGCCCCACGTCCACCATGCCTCTGCCAAGGACCCTGAATTGGCCCTCAACTCTAGACCTTGTGCTTGCTCAGTCCCCTCCCTTCTCACCTCAGTCCCTCCTGAGTTTTACTCTCCAAAGCTCTAGAACTGCTTACTCCAAACTGATCCTTCTTTAAAAGCAAAGATATGGGTTAGTAGATCAAGACATGGAAGTAGAGATAGGTGGTTTATTTTCAGTTGCCAAACTGGTCACTTGGAAAGGGCTCATAATCTAGACAAGGTGGCCAGCTGTATCAGCCACTACATACGAAGAAAAAACAAGCCATGTTACTTCCATGTGCCAACTGTGAGTAGAAATTCTTTTGGGGAGAGACTGAGGGGGATTGGGGTGGGGAGAAGCTACCCTGACTGCAGGGAACACTTGAGAGACCTGCAAAAAGCTAAGAGGGGATGCAAAGGATTTGGGGGCTGATTGGTACAGGTCTTGCCCTGCATAACAGGGTCAGTGGCCCCCACAATGCTGAGGGAAAAAAAAAATTCTTTTCAACCTTGTGATCAGGAAGAAATGATAAGCCCAATATGTAAAATTTCCCCACCACCATTTGTCCAAAGACTCTTTTGTACCAATCTTTATGTATTTATTCACACGTTTAATAAAAATGTTACAGTTAGGAGTGAAATCATTACGATGACATAAGCAACTGTACAGAGGGACACCAAGTGCAGAGTCAAATTGCTGTTAAGTCAGAACATGGAGCAACCACAACTCTTCAGCACCTGTACACACACACACTCTCCTGCATACATCCACTCACACCCCAACCACTGCAGGAGCTAAGTGTGAACATAACCCAGGGACCCTTCCCTAGCTCTGTCAGGTCCTGGGGGAGAAGAGAGAAATAATCAATGAAAAGAAGCTGGGACTGCTCAAGGCATCTCTCTGCTCTGCCAATGACCCAGAGAAGGTAAGACATAAAACACTGGGACAGTTGTTTCCTTGGCACAAAACTGAACAGGCAACAATCAGGTCAAGGAGGGGTTTAAGTTAATCTCAGGTTTAGATCCCTTTTTCAACACCACAAAAGAGTAGCAAGCAGGAAAAATCCAGCCATTTAAACTCCAGAAAAAAAGGGAGGAAGATTTAAAAATTTCTAAAACTTGATCCCTATTCTCCCAACAGCTTGCAACATGACCATAAGCAAAACCAGCTAGGCCAAACTGATACCATCTGTTGTGACCTCAGCCAACAGTATACTTTGCCTTTTATTTTAGCTCTGAAGAGAGGAGGAAACCTCTTTAGAGGAACAAGAGGGTCACATGAACCACATCTCCAATATATTAGTATTGATTCACACAGCTTATCTACAGCTCTGAGAGGTCCAAGTGGCCCAGCTCCCACTCCTTTGCCTTTAGTCTTCCAAGGACAAGTCAAAACTGAAGTGTGAAAAATAACACCTGAATCAAAAAGGTGTTCTCTATACAGTGGGACTATGGAGAAATTCCACTTGACTCCCCAACTCCTTTTTGACACAAAGGTTAAAAAAATAAATTAAAGGTAAATGTGATGTTTTGAGCATCTCCACTGATCCTACGAAAACACTGATACAGAAAGCTACTGTCTAAAAGGAGTCCTCTCCCAGTGCTCTTGGTAAATGGGCTAAGGTTGGGAAGCAGGCAATGATGCAATGAGAATAGGGCATGAGTAGGGAAGAACTGGCCGAGTCAAAGGAAACTTCTTTGGGTTAGGTGAGTCGATGGGGTGATATTCTGCAGGTAGGGAGAGAAATTTCTTGGTACAAACTTCATGTTCCTAAAGATAAAAGCAAAGTGAGGACAAGGCACTTAACATGGCCAAGTGACATTCATACCCATTCACACTAAGACAGTTACCAAGAAAACTCCCAGTCACCCCTCAACTGAGAAACTCAACCAGCCAACTACACTTTCCAGGTGGACCTGCAGAACTGAAGGAAATCCAAAGCGCTGCACAACCAATGGTGGGATTTGGAATGTCAGCAGAGGAAACTACTCAGAGGAAGCAAATGGAAGTCATCCTCTTCTGGCCTGAGGTGGAGACGTTTGTTCCAGATAAGCTCAGTGAAATACTAAATTTAAAAATGGTTGGCCTGAAAATATGGCACCTCGCAGATGCTGCCTTCTTCTCTGTTTGACAAAGAGCAATAAGGGCTCTCAATGAAAATGGACATGTTAATTGAATTATCTTGCACTGGTGGATACAGCAGATGCCTTCTAATACACATGGCTTGTCCCCATTCTGTAGCGGAGTGACAAGGGACTGACAGGGCTTGCAGCGTCTATCCTTTATTATCCCAAAGCCTTTCAGGCATATTCAATCCGAGCAGGGCCACAACTACCCTCATTCTTCCGCTCGGAGGACTGGGTGGTGGTCTTGGCTTCACTATTTATTTCCAGAGGCTTAGCAGAAATGTAGTCTTTTACTTTGATTTCCATGTTCTTGGCTTTCAGAGTGGCCATGTGCAGCTTCTCCAGGAAGTCTGGCATGCCTGTCAGGATAGAGGGGAATCTGATTAAGATGACATACAAACCAATAGTAGGCTCAAAATTAGAAGGACCTATCTCTTTGATGGTAGGGAACTAGCTCTTCCTCATAGTGATCATAGCCTGATTGAAGACCTGTGAGTGACAGCTGCCTCCCAGAAATGTGTGCCCTATGCATAGATTTTTTTCACAGCCATGTCCTCTGACCCTTTGAAAAGGGGTACTGATCAGGCCACGTTAAGTCCCAAAAGGCTCTTTTAGGTGATTAAAATATCACTTTTCAGTGGCATAGCCAAAATAGCTGCCAATTTTATTTAGACAAATGTCAGACAGAACTACCTAATCTTCTCTCCATTCTCCCACTGAGGTATAAGAAACTACCTATACAGAAACAGAAGAAAGAAAATCACACAAGGGTGCTTTCTAAGACAAGAAATTGGAAGGAAAGGAGCAGTTACAGCTGTGACATGTAGCCTTTGTTAAAAGTCTTTCCCCAGGTGACTGCCCTACAATCATCACGTTTTCTGTGCCAGATCTTATGGCCTTCAACACTACTGCAGAAGAAGGAAAAACTTAAATATATTAATGTACACAGATCATACTTAAGGTGTTGAAGCAAATGTTTTTAAAACTCTCCTCTTGGCACAAGTTCCTTTCTTGGACCCTATAATTCTCATCCCTTCGAACCGCACCTGAAGGACTCCAGTGAGACAAGTACTAATCTTCATGCTGCTATTAAGAAGACAGAGAAAAACACAATGCTCAACCCACTTTCGAGGCCCTGTATACAAGTCCCTACTCACCACTGGAAACCATCCAACTAACACAGTACCGAGGAAACACAGTCTGGGGATTGTCACTGTATATCAACAAGTAGTCAAAGCCATTCTGGAAAAGAAAAACATCAAAGATGAGGGTATTTGAATTATCCATCACAACTTCCATATCCAGTACCACAGAATAACCATGATGTGATTTTGGAGCAGGGAGTGTCATATCTTCTACTCTGTGCAGAAAAGCGTTAACATCAAAAGCCCGAGAGCTGGCCTGTGGCTCACTTGGGAGAGCGTGGTGCTGACAATACCAAGTCAAGGGTTACGATCCCCTTACCGGTCATCTTTAAAAAAAAAAAGAGAGAAAGAAAGAAAGCCTGAGACTGCTTCCACAGAAAGGCCTGCTTACAAGGTTGGCGTCTGAGAACTTGGCTCCAGGAGCACTCCCAGTCAGTTAACTGATGAGGGTGGCTCCCTGTGCTTACACTATGCAAACAATGCGGTTTACAGTGAAAACAGGCCTTCCTTCTGGGGGTCTGGAATTTTGATATGTGCTAAGCAGAGGATGATACGTGAAAACAAAAACTTTGGGTGCTGAGTTTTGTTTTTTTATTTTCCTTTTTTTGTCTTTTTTCGTGACCGGCAACGGATCACAACCCTCAGTGTCGCGCCCGTACCAGGCCGGGACCAGCCACGGGATCGCAACCCTCGGCGTTGCTCCCGCCCCTCGCTCAGCCAGTGAGCAGCCGGTCTGTATGTGGGATCCGAACCCTCGGCGGGAGCGCCACCACGCTTCCCAAGCGGCGCACTATAGCAGTGCGCCACCGGGCCGGCCCGTGGGTGCTGAGTTTCTAGTGGGCCTTCCTGGACAGAAACATCACACACATATTGCTGCATTTTGTTGCTGAGGAAGGAAGCCTCACGTGGATTCCTCCAGACTCCTCCTGTGTCTTTTTCTCTTAGAAGCCAGCTCTTTACTACATCACTGTCATAAACCTTAGCTGTTAATACAACTATATCTGAGTCCTGTGAGTCCTTCTAGCAAATCTTCAAAAGTGGGGGTAGTCTTGAGGACCTACAACACGTATCCCAAATGTTTACAGTTTTGTTTTTTTTTTTTTTTTTTTTTTTTT